AAAAGAAAAATTCTCCAATTCCTTTCTTAAATTTGAGCAAGCACACGGGGAGTATTTTGTTAGTGGATAGACCAGTAGAGTTGTGCAATGATTTTCACGCAATCATTTGTCAAGAATAATCAAACATTAACTCAATCATTTCAGAACCCAAATCATGATTTTTAAGTTATAACTGCTTCTAAATTATATTCCGAGAAAAAGTGCTAAGAATAAATTGTAATTGAGATTACAAATAAAAAAATTTGAAAAAAATAATAATAATTGGCACATTTAATATAATGTTAGATAAATTTAATTATATTTTTTAGAAATGAATTTTTTAAATTTTTAAATAGGATGATCATTTTTTTTAGTAATTACGATGAAAAACATGGTCTTGAAACCTATATATATATATATATATATAATCACTTCATGTTTCGTAACTCTTTGGACGCTCAAGTTAGTGTCTCTAAAATGACTTTTTTTTAATTTTTTTCCTAATATTATAACTAATTTTTTCACTTATATTAATTTTTATTAAATCAATTCATATTATATGTATTTATAAAAAAATCATATTGTATATATATTTTTTTTAAAAAAAAAAAAACGAGTACCATTAACCGAAGGACACCAGTAAAAACGGACAAATGGAAAGGAAGCAAAAGTGCAGAAAGCCAATCTAAAAAGCATGGCGTCTCTTTCGTCACCGAATTGGCTGTCAACATCCTAGCAATACCAGCTTCTCTTGGCGTCAACATCCTAGCAATACCAGCTTCTCTTCCAACGAGCCAAGCCTTCACATTTTTAAATCCAAGATTAGCACTAACACCCCTTCTCCTTCAACTTCTTTAGGCAGCAGGAGAAGCAGAAACTAGCATCAACATGTTCTCTGCTGCAACAAAAACAACAACAACAGCTAAAAGAAGAAGAGCTACTGTAACTCTGATTGTACCTTTCATGAACTATTGGGTTTAATTCTTTTTGTTGAATTAGCAATTTTCTTAAAATTATTCATTTTGGGTTCGATTGTTTTTTGTCAAATTGTTGCAGTTTTTGCCTTGGAGAAGTACCATGTGGAACTGGAACTAAAAGAAGATAAGCTATATTCAATATGGCATTTACTGCTCTTACATTCCCGGCAATTGCTTCTACTGAATTGGCAGCAACCGGTAAAAAGTATTAGTGATTTTTCGTGATGGTGTTCTTACGTTAATGTTTATATTTGAATTTTTTTTTTAGCATATATTCTAATTAAAGGAAATATATAACTGCTGAATTTCAAGTGTGGCAGAGGACTTCCGTGTTTAAACAGATGATGTGAACAAGTTCAAGATATCTATTCCCCAGCCAAGTTACATTGATTCTGAATTTTTTGATCTCTGTATATATAAGTAGCAGGTGATGTAAAAACTCAGGAATGGTGGTGGGGTTACTAAATTTAAATTCTGTTTTACAATATTATTGCAGTTTGTCGATGAAGAATCGGTGAAATTTGGCACCAAGATCCGGAAGTGTATGAAAACTCTTCGTTTACATGGTCTCAAGTTCTTGTCTTCGAAATATTAAAGCTTCTGTGACAACTTGGAGATAAAAGATTTCAGGTACCACCTGAAATGCCAGTACTATTTGGTTCTGCAGGCTGTTCCATCCTTCAGGTTTATTTGATGACATAAACTACCTGTAAACCAGGTATCATTCTTTCATTTTCTTCTTTGGCCGCTATATGTTAAAAATTCTGGAGTAATCACATTCGATTCGCATGAATCTGCTACTCGCGAAGAGAGCTTCTTAAAAAAGCATCATGTTAGATTTGGACATAGACTCACAGCAAAGACAACTTTTGTTGAGGTCAAAGAAAGAAGATTGAATCACTGTTTTTGGTTTTTTAACTTCGACTATCAAATAAATATAAAGGGTATGTATGTAGGTATAGATGTGGAGTTCAAGATTTTACCTTGAAAACAACAATGTAGTAGAAATCCCTTTGCTTTGCTAAAAATGGAATTCAAAATCCAGCTTATTCCACAAATCCTTTAAGCACAAAAGCCCTTTCATCAACAAAAGTTTTGTATAATTGAAGATAATTGTGCTGGCATTCGCTCACACATGGAAGGTTTAAGAACTGGTCTCATTGGTCATGCCTTCCAATCAGGCCAATGAAGATGGCCACTTAATGGTAAAATAATTAATAAGAGAGTTTACCGGACTCGGATTACCAAATCTTAGGTGACGCGATTGCAGAAACTATGTAATTAACGGAAGAAATATGGTCCTGGATGGCAAGCATCAAGAAGCATCTTGCAGGCTATAAGGATGTCCATAGCTTTGGAGCGACAATGATTGATCTTTCAATTCGCTGGAGTTCTTTTGCTACTTCTATCATCAGTGGCCTATCTTCTCGTGAAAAAGGATTGGTGCATCTCAAGGCTACTTCAAGGAATGCTTGCTGTTGTTGCTGATCAATTGCTTCTCCCCTTTTTCCCCTAATCCTAGGATCCACAATTTCATTTACCTGATCCTCTTCATCCAAGTCTTTCGCATAATGTATCACAAAGATTTCCTCTTGAATTGTTATTCGTCCAGTAAGAAGAACGAGCAGAAGCACCCCAAAGCTGTAGACATCGGTCTTCTCTGTAACAAAACCAGTTCGTAAATAAACAGGATCCAGGAAAAACAATGTCCCTGAAACCTCCTCTTCGACTTTTGATTCCCCTTCAGGGATTGATATGGAGAGAGAGAAATTAGAGAGTTTGGCATCATAATTCTGGTTGAGGAAGATATTTTGAGGCTTTATGTCTCTGTGGATGGTTGGCCTGGGAAATGCAGTGTGGAGATATGTCACTGCATTTGCAATTTCCTTGGCAATTTTCAATCTGGTTCCCCAAGTTAACGATCCATCCTGAATAAGTCTTTCCAGACATCCAATTCCTGGATATTCAAAAACTAGAGCTGGACCTGCTGGGATCTCCAAACAGCAACCTAACAGCTTGAGAACCTTGTTGTGGCTGCTCATCTGCGACGAGACCACGATGTCACGGTAGACCTCTTTAGTGCAGCGCGTAAAGCTCTTGATGAAAACAAGGCGCTGTTCAAGAATTCCTTCGTACCATTTAAATTCAAAATCTTCTAAATCTGTGAGAATTTCAAGAGAAAGGCTTGGATGGTAGTCATCTATGGCTTTTTGGAGTTGGTTGAGAGAGAAGTTCATGATAGGATTGGATCTACCATTACAAAAAGCAGTCAGCTCTTCCAATAGCTCACCTCCACGATCCAAAAACATCCTCTGCCTTTCCCTTTTATGCATTTTCTTATCCAAACGTATCCTCCGGCCTTTTCTCTCCATCTCTTTCTCCCCTTTCACCACAATTCAGCTTAACTGAAATATCACTACGTTATATATCTCACAATTTCTTCTTTCATTTGCACCTTTTTAGTTGATCACAGGATGGTGCAGAGGAGAGAAACCTCGGGGAAACTGCCTGCCCCCGCCGCCCCCCAGCCAAAGTCAAGAAAGACAATCGTGTTAGAAATTTACTTTGTATACAAGCCACTCATGATGATGATAATGATAATTGAAATGCTAGGGAAATTTCCAAATCTGTTTCTCAACTAGCTAGTTATTAAAAAAATGGATTATTTAGCTTATTGATTAAACGAGTATATTTCCTTTTTTGATTATTTAGGTTCAAATCTAAAATTAATATCCACTATGATTTATTAAATTTATTTAAATATATCAAACAATTTGAGAGAACATCTTTAAGATCGTTTGAAGCACCGAAATGTCCTTTCTTGTATAATTTCTTGACTGATCCTCGTAATGCTCTTCGAAGTTGCAGTTAGATTCTCTAGAATTTCTATTGTTGAATGAATTCTTCTTCTTCTTCTTCTTTTTTTTTTTAATTATAATTACTTCTTTCAGTTGTAAAAGAAAATAACTAAAAGCGCAGAGCCTTTATACATTGAGAACCCATTTTGAAGTAGAGTAACTTTTCTTTCTAGGTATTTTATTAAAATTACATTTACCTTTAAAAAATATTAAAATGATTTTTTTATTTTTTTATAATTTTAATATGCTAATGTAAGAAAAAACTAAAAATTTACCTTAATATATTTTTAAATAAAAAATATTTTTAAGAAATACTTTATATATTAATATCAAACACACACTAAGATAGTGTTTGATTATTGTCTCAAAACAATAAAGACATAAATAATAGAGACCGAGGGGAATAGATAAAAAAATAATAATAATAAAGTGATGTATAAAATAAAGTGATTGTCTTTTTTTTGTTATGATAAGTAAGATAAAATAAAATATAAAAAAATATTTTACTCTTAACATGTATTGGTGTGAAACTTATATATTTTAAAAAATAATTAGATTTTTGTCTTTAGTTTATATTATGTGCTAAAATTAACAGTAACTTTAATTATAAAATTAAAATTGACTTGATGGATTGACTTGAATCCTAGATTTGATCTGAATTTAAAAAAACAGTGGAAGGATTGAATATCAAGAATTTAATTCAACACATAATAAAACATGCGTAAAAAACATGTTGAAAGTTTTTCTAGGAATAAAAAAATAATAAATATTATCTTTAGGTACATGTCCTCTATTTATATTTTATTTTAAAAATATAAAAATTCATTCCAAAATTATCCTAAAAATAGATTTATTTTTATATTTTTATTTTTATCTCTGTTTTTTTAGTCAAATATATTTTAACCTTTATTATTATCTAAAAGTGATTAAAATCCAGTGAAAATGGGCTTACAATAGGAACCCTGAGATTTTGTGGGTTTGTTGGATGTAAGAATTTTCAAAGTGTGTTGGGCCGAACTCAGTGTAGGCGGACTGTTTGTAGATGAGAAACTCAATGGGAGAGTTCTGGTTGTAGATTGGATCAACTTGCCCCCCCCTTTTAATCAAGGATGCCATGAAATTATGAATAAAACCTTAATTCGATAAAATCAATATAATTCTTAAATTGTCTTCATTTCGAAGGCCAGTTTTTGTCCTGTAAGAAAATGCAGACAAACAATTATTGATTATTGATGGACATGACCTTAAGATGATTTTTTATTATTCCCAAACAATTATTTTCACTTATTTTATACTTTCCGACTTGTGTAATTATAGCATGAGATTCATCGATCTACAGAAAATATAGTACAAGTTTGGATTGTAGAATAAGAAATGATTTTTTTTCATACACAATTCAAATACCTTAAACTAATCACAGTGTATTAGTTCAGTTGATCCCCAGCCAGTGCACGAGGGGAAGGAAAAATAAATAAAAAAGACTGTTCAGTTGCTTGAATGTTCAAGAATACAAGTGTACAGGAGGAAAAGGTTTCCTACGAGCAAAAGAATCAAAACAGAGATTCAAGAAATTGAGTTGAAAAAGAAAGCTTTTAAAGCAATTTCTTCATCTTCTTTCTTGGAAAGCTCATACGCAACTCCTCACTGTAATCTCACCGGATGAAAAACAAACAAAACAACTTGCGATGGCTGATGGAGAGGACGCAGCTACGCGGCAAAGGATTTGCTTTCTCGATCAAGACGTGATGGACCTACTTTCGGCCCGGCTCTCGTTTGCAATAAAGAGGGCTTCAGAACGCCTAACAAGCGTGAAAAGAAAGTGAGACAACGAGAGAGGAAACAAAGGTTGAGAAACGAGAGTTAATTAGGAAAGTATTATACTTCTTATAAAAATTTGTAAACAATTTTACATGATTATTTATAAGAGTTCACCAACTTTACACAAAATTCAATTTTATTAATTTTCAAATGATATAATTTTACAAGTCATATCAAAATTTATGATATCAAAATTACCATACGCCACAAACAAAAATAAATTAGTTGCTAGTAAGTTGTGACATAAATTCCAGATTGCTTTGCTATACACCGATTTTTTGTGACCTGAGATTGAAAATATGGAGGTCTCATAAGGAAAATAAATTAACATTTGATTTATATAAAGATTGAATACATCAATCAGTTTTTGCATTTTCATCCCCTCGTTCCTCTGCTTTCAGTGTTGAACCACGTTCGTCGATTTTTGTTGTTAAACTTCTTTTGGATAAAACGCTGAGCTGGTCAGCAAAGAGTAGGTTCTTCATTTGGTCCAGCTGCTGCCACTCTTTCTCCATCTGCAAATCCAACTCCTCAAACCGAAGAATCTTATCTTGAATCTCTTTCATCTGCAAAACCTTGAGATTGTTAATAACCATCTACACGTTCAAGAGTGAAAAAGGTAAGGATAAAGAATCCTGTGCACCTGAACTTCTGTAATCCTGGAAACTGCTCTCTCCACATCCAACTCTTCCTTCTCCAGAAGTGAATTCGCATCCAAACAAGCTTTTACTGAAGCATTTAGATTGGTGTCACCATTTGATGCAACACCAGAATCTGTACCCAGAAAACAAAAACTCATTATGTTATGAGAGTTGGATGGTCTAGATAAATTAACATTCCTGATCATAGCATGACTGAGCGCAACAACTCTTTAATTAGGTGATGTATGGAAGATATAAAAATATTGATTGGCAAATGTAACAAGGATATTGACAAATGAACTTCCTTTCATTGATTAATTTGAACGGGTTTTATCTATCAATCTTGCTCTTTGCTACAGATACAGCAAAAGGACTCACTCAGTACTTGAGTCTTGACTAAGATTCCATTATTTAGATAGGATATGGACGACAATTTGTAGGCTTATCGCTCACAATCTAAGTAAATTGTGTAAACCCCCTTGAAAACTAGTAAAGATGATTAGAATATTCCCAACTAACCAAACCCTAGCTTTTCATAATAACAAAAGCATAAAGCCTAGAGAATCTATTTCACATCAGTGCACCAACGCTATATTTTGGAGAAGCTGATCATACCTAGGTGTTTTGTAACCCTGGAAACAAATTCAAGACTGCCTTTACTTCCTCCATATTCCACCTCAGTCAAAGTAGTTACAGCTGCTCGAGCCGCAGCTTCTGCAACCTCTGTGCCCGCCAAAGCTGATAAAAAAGCAGCCTGAGAAAATTTCAAATAAATATATCAGTACATATTTGACATAAAATTAAAAAAAAAAAAATGCACTACATGGATTCACACCACAACAAAATTGAAACCAAGTATAATGCAAATCAAAGTTGATTATTAACCGTATGTTCAAGGAAGCACAGGAAGAAAATTATACCAGGTTACTTTTAATTATTGTTTGAAGATCAAAAATAGTCTCAGGGACAATATTTTTGTTGCACAGGATGTGGTCAAGTTTTGGTCAACCAAGTGGTTCCTAAACCAATTAAATCCAGCACACATACGTCTAAATCTCAAATTTTTATGAATTTTGATTGAAAATGCCTCCTCTTCTTCTTCTTTTTTCTTTTTTTTTTGTAGCCATGGTCCTTTCATTTTTTTCTGAGACAAACATTTTTGGTAAAATTCTTCAGTACTTTCAAACTTAAAAATGAATGGAAGACCATACCTGAGCCATTATTGGGTTGCTTGCATCCACAAGAGGTGAGAGATGTATTTTTTTACTTGGGGATGGAGAACCATTACCATTTGGTCCAGATTCATCATCATCACAGTCCTTTATTTGGTTATACTTGCTGTCAACATCCCCTACGTCTGTATAATCAGTAAAAACCTCTCCAAAAGGAAGCTTGATAAAATGAGTAATGCAGTCCTTCTCACTTCTACCACCAACATGTTGCGCAACCTTCTTCCAGTCATCCCTATAATGCATAACAGCTTCAAGAAGATGCAAGGTCTCTTTCTCTGTCCAATCTGTCCTTGCCTCTTCACTTATCTCCACCCGCCTGAAATCCGATGAACTGACACCAACCCGGTAGTTTCCACGCACATAGCACCGGGCACAAAGAGTTATATCATACTGTATAACATTAACAAACAGTAAATAATGATCCAAACCATTCATATCCCATCTCATCCATACATTAGCTTACACAAAAAAACTCAAACACCACTGTCCGACATTAACATCCAATTATTACATAACACACAGGCATGTTCTCTAGACATTGAATTAAACCAAGCATTGCATCAAAATTCAAAATCAAGAAAACAAAGACAACATCAATCCCTAGATCGAAAAAAGCATTTGCTAGAACAAGAGAAAGTTACCTTATCGCAAAAGAAGCAAGCAATGCTACAGAGAGACTTACAACCACTGCACAGTCTCTTACAATTGTCCTTATTATTACTAGCATTAGCATCACCGGCAGTCCCTCCATCACCACCACCACCACCACCGGCGGGCGAAGCAGCAGTCTTGGAAGAAGAATCCTTGCCATCTTCCCACTTCAAATGCTTATTCAAAGGGGAGTAATTGATCAAACCCCAAGCATCCAAGAAATCAAAAACCCTACGAATGGACCCCACATCGCCAACGAGAGTCTTCCTGATTTCAGTAAAAGTGAGCTTAGCGGAAGGGTTTTTCCTGGATTGGGAGATGATTGAGTTCCTGTAGTACTTGTAAACACTAGGGTTTTTCGAAGGCGATCGCGAATCGAAGAATTCTGGGAGGAATCGGACCTCGCATTCGTGTATGTTGTCCCATGAAAACCAGCCTATAAAAAAACAAAAAATAATTAATTCAAATATAATGCAATCATTTAGGGATGATAGATAAGGGGTTTTGGAGGACTTACGGGAGTAGCTAGGGATGTGGACGACGTCGGGTTCGGAGGAAGGAGGAGGTGGTTGTGGTGGTCGGGGAGATGGGGCGGCGGCGGTGGGAGGTTGAATCTCGGGTTTGACGGGAGAGGATAGAGGAATTTTGGGGTGGAGAGATGGTGGTGCGGGTGATACTGAGGCCATGACTGCCAGGCGCTCGAATGAGAGAGAGAGAGAGAGAGCGCTCTGCTGTCGCTGAAGGTGGCAATTTTTTAACGAGTCGTAATTTCTTTCTTTATGTTCTAACGGGCACGCTCCTAGCTTTTGAGGATAGCAAGTGGTGTGCTGTTCTCCTCCCGTTAAAGCGACGTCGTTTGGTGTTCATCCAATGACTGAATTATAAAATGATGAGGAATTAGTTATGACTTAGTCCTTGTATTAGAATAAATTAATTTATCCCTGTAATTTTAAAAATAATCAAATATTTGTTATCAGTATTTTAATATTACTTGTTTTAATATATTCTTTTTTTTCTTGTTAATTATTCCATCCATTCTTTTTTTTCTTTTTATATTTATCAAAATAAATAATAGAATGAACCAAGAAGTTATACATAAATTTATACATACATATATAGTTTATAGTTTCAAGATATATATATATCTTGAAACTATAGACTATATATGTATGAACCAATTGATTATTTTTTCTAAATTATATATTAATTTATGATAATTATTTAGCACCTTCTCCTCTATCTCATATGAATGTATTTGTTAATATGGTAGTGGTTATTGTTGTGATTTAAAAAAAAACATTTTATAAAAAATATTTTTAATAAAAATTAATTTGAAAAACTATATAAATGAAATTAAAATTGAATAAAAAATAAATTAATATATTTAGATAAGAATATTTTTGGAATTGAGATTATAAAATAATTTTTTTAAAATATATTAATATTAATAATTTTTAATTTAAATATTATAATAAAATAATTTTTTAAAAATATATTAATATTAATAATTTTTAATTTAAATATTATAAATTTAACTATTACTATTACATCATAAAATAAATAATACTTTATATAAAATATTTTTTGTTATTCCATTAAATTTTTTAAGAACACAACAATATTAAAAATAAAATTAAAATTACAATTAAATTCTGCAAATACTACGATTTCCATCTAATTTATATAATTTTATTAAATAATATTTAACACTAGTTTTTAAAATAAAATATAATTAAAAAAATATTTTTTATTTTATTAAATCAAATTTAATTCAATGCATTTAATATTATTAAATAATATTTAACACTAGTTTTTAAAATAAAATATAATGAAAAAAATATTTTTTATTTTATTAAATCAAATTTAATTCAATGCATTTTTAACCTTAAACCAATCCACTTCAGCTGTAACAGTGGAGCGCTGTTCCAGCTCCACTGTTCTTAAACAATGGCTCTACTATTTATGAGTTTTTATAAGTTTTGTGGGCACAAGAATCTTCTTGTAATCTGTAGTTTGACCACGGTTAATAGCAGGTACTACAAGTAGAAAATTGTGTTTGGAACATTACCAAATATTTATTTTGTTGTGATTACTTCAAATACATAAACAACCACGCAAACAAATGAACCACATGAGTGTTGGTTTGGCAACACGCAGTTTGACAATTCACAAATCCCAATTTTATAGAGCCAAACACACAAGGCAAATTGTTGAGCCACCAACATGCAAATAAATGGATTCGACCATGTAGCACATTCTTGTGAATGGGGAATCAGTTCCGTACAATGTACACTTCGCTTACCTTTATACGCAGTTTCTTCTCTCCCTCCTGTTGCTTGAAGGGGCCAAAACGCTGGAACCAAAGTTCATGGACAAGATATTTGGGCAGACCTTGAAAGGAGACGACTGTCCACACAAGTTTTTTTTTTTTTTTGAAATTAAATATACGTGAAGCTTCCCCCATGTTTTGAGGTCTGCTTTCCATATGATCCGAATTACAAAGACTTGAGAGCCCAAAAAAAGGGAGAACCGCTAGTACTAGTATGAACAAAGTACCAGTGATGGTTAAATACAATGCAGGACACCGACACAGACACGAGACTACCTCTACACCCAAATGCTGGGACTACTAGACTATAAAAGAATCATATGTTGATTCTAACATGATGGTTTCTTTTTACGGTTTCTTATTATTCCTATGATATGGCTGCCAGGAACCAATTCCAGCATCCATAAAATGCATTGCTGCCTGTTACTCTTCCTGAGTTTTGGCAGCATACAAGAGTTTTCTATACACTAGGGTAAAGGAAGAATTTCCCATATCCCTTCTCCACCCGTTCAGGGTGGCTCAGATCCCCCTCGACTTCTCTGGTGAGCATGATTATGTATGACCTGCACAACATCAAATCTGTAAGATTAATACTTTCCATGCAATTATCTCAAGGGCCTCATGCTACATGAAAACCACCGAGAACGATGGCATAGTTTCAGTAATATAGTTTCAAAAAAAGGTTGATACTGGACTCCAGCAAAGTAAAGGGGATGGTTTATGCCTTCACAGTATGGTTTGATACTCACCAAATTCGAGATTTACTTCCTAAATAAAAATAGGGTAGTAATTTTAAGTACCTTAGTTTCTAGTTCAGTACAGGACAAGCTCTCATTTAGCAGTAAATATGCATGCTTACAGAAAACTCAAAGATTGTACCTCTAGAATGCAAGGTAAATAGTTTGCAAGGCTAGATTCGAAGCCCGCCACTCAAGTAGCAGTTCCGCTGCTCTTAGTCCTGCTGCAGTCTTAAGGATACCTAAGATTGAAAAACAATCGGTCCATGTTACAACATAATGGTGGCAGCATAGGTCTGAAAACATTGTGCACTTCCCATGGCCATTTGATGCCACTCACCTTGATCAGCTCCTCACCCAGTGGTTTGGTCAGAACCGCTACTATGCATATATTGCGGAGAAGGAGCGGGAACAATAAACTGTTGCTGTGCTGGAACAGCTGCAGCTATACCTGCAAACCAATGCATTTCCTCAATCAGGTTTACCAGTGTGGTTATTTTTTTATGCAACATTCATCAGTTAATTGCATAACAATGCCACTTCTTTGGTAGGATTTTTTACCCTCCCTTTATCATCGAAAGTTTAAGAAGATTATTAGTCCCCTCCTCAAAGGGTTCTACTTGTTTCTGAGCCCACGACAGGCACCATTTCAATAGTTTCTCTCTGTGAAGGGAATTTCCCCTCACTTTCACAACTAATTTCTTAGCACTTTTGATCAGGAAGTCAATTTATGATGCCAAAAGTAGCTGTGAAAAATATAGACGACATCAGACATCAGCTAGTTTTCTCATGTCCTAGACATTTGAATGGAACAGTGAAGAGATTTTGAGCTGAAATGTTAACCTGTAGGATATGGTGCTTGAATCGTTGGCAAAGGTGAAGTTGTCATTGCATTGACACCTGGCCCACCAAACTGCATAATATGATGACCCGGCACAGCATATCCTTGCATTGTTGTATAACCATGACCTCCAGGAACATTTTGACCGAACTGCCCATAAGGATACATGCCTGTGTTCACTGTTCCAGGAACTCCATATATCTGAAGGTACTGCTGACCAGCAGCATAAGGGTTGTAAACACCCTGCTAGTAGGAAGAAAGCAGCAATAATCAGTATCAAGTCATCTTGGTAGTTTTAAGACAGTTTAAAAACCCAAGAAAAAGTTTCTAATTCCTGTCACCATTTACCTGTTGATAAACATATTCGGGTCCATATGCTGCATAGCTGAATAGATGAACCAACCATAGAGATGGCAAAACGATCAGTATAGGGAAAGGAATTTTACATAGAAATCATATTACATGGAGAAAACAAAGTAAACATGTTATCAACACTGAACGAATCCAGGATTTTTCAAGCAAACTACATGGTTACTTCTCCTAAAAATGAGCTCTCTCTCAAATATGTCCAAAGGATAAATGCACAGTGCGATGGGCACCACACCCCAAAAACTAATGTTTCCAGTTTATTTTCTTTTCTATATACACATTTCAAACCATGACTGTGATCTTGCCTGTTCAATAAACAATGAGCTGGGGCACATATCCTCTGCAACTACCACTTTTTGCATTCCTGCAATTACCAATCACACCATGTCACATCACTGTAACTTGGACAAAAGGAACCCCGAATTCTAGGAAACAGACTTACTTCTAGAGCAGCTAGAAATCTCTAACTGACGTTCAATGATGTGATTGGTGTGTATATGAATAGCCACTTACAAGGGAGCTGGGAAATGTAAAAAAGAGAAAGTAGTTGCAAAGGACATATACCCAATCTAACTTGAAAACCGTGGCCACTCTATCCATAGTTTCATTCGCTTCACAACATAGGTTGATGAGTAAATGCAGAGCATACGAGGAGCAATAAAGACTACTTCTAGAGTTGAAGTTAGGGTTCTGCCTATATTAAAGTAGACATCAGTATTGCGAACAATAGAAACCACGCCTAAAATTTAACCATGACCCATCAAACAAATTTTAGTCAACTAGCCTAAAAAACAGATATTTACAAATTAACAATGAGCTGACATAAAACTCCATACTGAACTCTACTAAATTCTAAGCGCAACTCCTGGGAAAGTTAGCAGGAATTGACAGGAAACAAAATATGGCATTGCCATAGCGTCTTTAAAAAGCCAACCAGATACGTAAATGCAAAAATGAATACAAGACTTCAGATAACACATAAATAAGGAGGACAAAGAATTAAAAAAAAAAAATTCCTTTAAATAAGGAGGACAAAGAATTAAAAAAAATAATTCCTTCACATATCATGAAATTGAATTTGATACTTTGTACCAGCCAAATTGAGGAAACTTTTTAACTGCAACAAGTATAATTATTGTTTACTTTGGAATGTAGCATAAAACCTACCCATATGGATGATACATCAAGCCTTGTTGGTAGCCATAAGAAACTGGTTGCTGGTAGCCAAAACTTCCAACATAAGTCCCTCTGGGGGTCTGCACACTTGCAATGTATGGGGCAGCTGGTCTCAGACGTCCAACTAGAAACAAAGCAGCACGCAGAGGAAATTAGCCCGCATAAAACTAAAGAATTGAATCATATTGGCTTTCAATATTCCTTATCCAGTACAAAATTGTTCTTGCATTTAGAAAAACCGATACCATAAGGCACTGGTGGCCGAGGTCGACCAAGTGAAGCCAAATTACAGTTAGCCCGTCTCCCGTCGATCATCGGATTAGGATCAGCACAGGCTCTCCTAGCTGCCTCTGGTTCTCGGAAAGTTACCTACACCCTCCACACAAATACAATTCAAAAACCCATGTCATTCTTCATCCATCAAATAAAAACACAAGCCATTTATCCACAATGGAAAAAATCCAGAATTTAACAGCTATCTAGATCACCTTTAATCATCAAAATAAGAACAAGATAACCTTTATCAAAACAACTATTAATCAAGCATGAGTAAGTGAATAAGTAAATACTAACAAAACCATAGCCTTTTGATCGGCCAGTGTTCTTATCGGTGATCACCACAGCCTCAAGAATATCACCAAACTGCTCGAAATAACGACGCATGGTCTCGCTCTGGGTCTCCCAAGCAAGCCCCCCAACAAAGACCTTAGTATAAGTTGTATCTCCAAATGGAGAATTCATGTATTGAAACCCTGAGCTTGAGCTCGATCCCGAGCTAGGACCCGGAACCGCTTGATAAGCCATATTGACAATTGAATTCAATTCAAACAACAAAACCCAAAAAGAGAAACACGAGAAGAAGAAGCAAGAAAAGGCTAGTTCAAAATTCAAAATTTTTATAAGATTCGGAGAATAAAAAGGAAGGGAAAGAAGAGGGTGCTAAGAAGTGACATGCTGGCTTAAAAGAGAAACCCCAGAATTTGATGAGATATACTGAGAATCCATTGAATTCTAAAGGGATCAAGAAACAGGAGTGTTGTTTTTGACAAAGATCGGAAAGCAAAGTGATGGGGTTGAATAGGGGAAGAAAGAATCACAATCACAATAAAAGGAAGAAAGTGAAAAGGGGAAAGAAAAAGAAACCCTAGAGTTGAAGTGGGGTGAGGTCGGTAGGATGGAAAACAGAGAGAGAAGGGAGAGTTGGACTTGTGTTGTGTGGGAAAATAAAAGTTGGATGGTCAATACTCGATATACTACAGAGAAAGAGAGGGTACTGTGTCAAAAAAGAAAGGAAAAGGAAGAATCTTTTCTAGGAGGGTGATACTAATAGTATTGACAGGAGTAAATATTTATTGATGATGTTGGTGGGGATGGAGAGGGGGTTGGGGAGTGGGGGGGCGAGGAGGAGGGGCGAGGGGCGGGGGATTCATGATTTGTTGGCTGGCCGGAGGAGGAGGAGGAGAGAGGGTGAAAATGTTAAAAAAAGAAAAGAAAATAAAAGGTGGACCCGGATGGATGTACAGACAGCCAATGTGGGCCCCACGCCCTCTCTTAATCTAATCTCCAGTGGGAAATAAATGCAGATTATTATTAAATACAATTTCTGTTCCAGCTCCCTTATTTAAGTTGGTTCCAAGGACAAGTTCTTAAGATTATTTGGAAAAAAATAAATAAATTCAAAACATGATTATCAAACCTAATTTTGATTGACCCAGCGCTATACTCAAGTTATAGGTTAAGGAGCTAATCAAATTATTTAAAAACATAATTTAATTTTAATCAAGTTAATAAACTTACAGTCAACTTTTTATTGATTTTTTTTTTTAAAACAGCCAAGTAAAGTTAGAGATTAATAGGATCTAAAAATACTTTTACCATTGATAAAAGAAGAAAAAAATACAATTCTCTCTCTCTCTCTCTCTCTCTCTCTCATATATATATATATATATATCTTAGGCAGCCATGACAAAGATTATCCTGAGCTCCTCCTGTAATAGTTTCCAAACTATATTCGATGTTTATGTCAAGGTTATTATCACAGTTTATTTTTGAAGAAGAAGATGTTTATACGATCCATCCAGTTTGATCACTGCTAATAAAACATGATTAACAAAGGTGGCAAGTGGATAAAGCTCGAGGAGATGCACGTAGCAAGAGGGGCCCTCTCTCTCACGATGGCTGTGACATGCATCATTGGTTCCTTTCATCGAGCTGGCAGGTAGGTATGCCCCTTGACCCTTAATGAGTGCCCTGCCTCGTTGTATGAATTCTTCCCCTCCTAATGTTGCCCTCGTAAAGTTTGAGTTATGCTTTGACAAATAAGCTTCAATTAATGTCTTTTTCCCCATATAATTTTGTTATTCCATATCTAAATTATTTAAAAGATGTCAGCTAGAAATATAAATATATCTGGTCAGAGGGGTAAAAGATAAAAACTTAAATTGAATGTTCAAGGAATGGAAGAGGCATGGTGGTACCATGGTAATGGGAATCCAATCCGTGTTTAAAAATACGGCAGGCGTCTTGTTGCCCTTTGATGGGAACGCGAGGGCCATTTCGCCTTCTGTGGACACGAGCCACAGGGCTGCGGTTCGGGTCCATTGGGGGCCTAATACACCTGTTATGGACCACGATTGCGGCACGGTAAGGGGCCACAGGTCCAAAAACACTTGTCTATATCATGTGCTCTTTTTTATCTTCTTCTCTGTATTCTCGTGGTTCCAGAGACATGCAATTGATTTGCAGAGACAGGACTGCAGTGGAGAACCACTTCCAAGAAAACAAAGGATGTTTCTCTTCCATGATGATGTTTTTGCTACAGCAAATGATTCTCGTTGCGTTTCAGCCATTACCTCTGAAACCATCAAGCCAAATTCTTTAATCACATACATTTTATTTTAACTTGAAGTATCTTGTTACAAATTGGAGTTTATTGTTATTTCATTCTATTTCAGAGCTTTGTCGATTAAATTATTTTGAGTTTAGATTTAACATATTCAAATTATTGGATTGAATTTATTTTTTTGATATACGTAACCCTTGAACTTAAACCAACTAATTATTTAATTAAAAAGTAATGGAACTTTTATTTGCGGCTGTTTGGGAATGTGTTTTTTTTTAATTTATTATTTTTTAAATTATTATTTTTTTATGTTTTTGAATTATTTTAATATATTAATGTTAAAAATAAATTTTTTTAAAATAAATTATTTTATTACATTTCATAATAAAAAATATTTTAAAAAGCAAATGTTACCAAACTTCTAAATACAATAACACTAAACTTTCTTTTTAATATTGCAGCCAAGGGAGTAATTGACACAACATAGCATTTTCAACTCGCATTTCAAGTTAATTATTTTAATTTTTTATAAAAATATTATACATGTAGGTTTTTTTAATATATTTAATAGTTTAAAAAAATTTAATGCAAATATAAAATTTATATAATCAAATAAATTGAAAACTATGCATGCCAATAAATAAATAAATAATTATCAACGATATCTAAAAATAAAACTTGAAAAATCGAGAGACTAATATAAATCAATATATTTAATCTCGCAAGACAACATATTTATTTAATTATATTTGTTAATTTTTTTATTCAATCAAATGATAATAAAAATATACAAACATATTACATTGATTGAATAAAATAAAATAAATATTATACAAGGCTATATATATTAAAAATATTACTTGAAAATAAATATTTTTTAAAATTAAACGTATTCAAAATAAAAAAATTATAAATGAATAAGAAAAATCCCTTTAAAAATTAAACGCATAACCAAAAAATAATAATCACTTAAAAAAATTTGTCTAAACGAAATAAAAGAGAGAAGTGATATTAAACAAAAACAAACAATCGTAAAAACTAAAATTAACTTAAAATAAAAAATCAAACCAAGTTTAAATTTATTTTTTATAAATTTTAAAGATAAAAAAAATATCTAATATAAACTCTCCTCGAAAAAAATAATTTAACATAAATAATATTTATTTTAGTGATGTAAATTTATATTAACGACATGTTTTTTTCTGTTCTACCCTGAATGAAATGATGGAACCAGCAGTTACAGGCATGCGGAATGTACTGAATGCTTGCTCCCAGGTTAAAGTGAAGAAAGTCATCGTTGTGTTGTCTATATTGGCCAAGGATCAAGTGATGAATGAGGAGTCACTGGTCTTGACTTGGGAGCTTGCGAGGTACTGTCATGCCAAGATAATAGCAGAAAAGGAAGCTCTGGAATATATGCTGCTACGTTTGAATTGTTTTTCGAAATGATTTTTTATTTATAAAGGATAAAATTAAAGGTTTTTTCAGGTACTTATGAAAATACAAGTCCACAATCTCAAGAACACATGAATTCTTACAACGAGGTTGAGCACTCAAGAAATAAACCAAGTAATCTTCAGTTTCAAAACAACTCGCAAGCTATTAGTTTTTAGCCAAATCGCCTCTCTCTTCGTAGTTCTTGACAGCATCAACAAGTGACTCCTCTAATGATCTGTATTTCCATCCTAAATTCAGCAATTTCTCTGAACTCATGTCCATTGATGGCATCCCTCCAGCAAAACTGTCATAACATGGACACAACATAATTGAGCAAGGCCACAAAGAAAAGAAGAGTACACGATTTCTTAGCATATAAAATCATGTGCTTCGGAATTGAGCAGGCCAATCGAAGGATGCTCATTATTTGTTGCCTTATTGGTGGGAATTAAGCTTGATATATAATTGATATACCTCTTGGGGTAGTTGTAATGGGGATACATTGCCTTCAACTTTTCTGCCAAATCCTGAGTTGTAATATCATGTGATGAACATATATACCTTCCCTCGGCTTCATCCTTCTCGTATATCAGCAAGAGTGCTTTTGCTGTATCGCGCACATCTACAAAAGAACGGGTTCCACTGTCTAGTGTTTCCAATCCATCTGTTTTCCATGGTAACAACATCAGTTAGCTGGATCCCAAATGCCAAGGTTACAGTTTTACACACACCCCAGCAGCTACTTGATGATACAATTCTTCAAATAGAAATTATGAAGAGAACCTTTTAAGTAACTTAGGAGGTACAAGCTACTGCTATTCATGGTTGGCTGCAACAAAGGCCCTATGATAATGGAGGGACAGATGGTCACAATTTTGAGCTCGTTCGCCTTTCCATATTCCAAAGCTTCTTTTTCTGCTTTTGTCTTGGCAAGAAAATACCATTGCTGGTTTTTATAAATGAACTTAATCAGTTAGCTTATGACAATTGAGCCAGGATACGAAATCAATGAGTGCCTATAACTTTTACAAGGTTGATTCTAGATACCTCATTTGCCTTACAAAACTCGAAGTCAGACCAAGACTCCTCATTCATCGCCTGATCCTTTGGCCAATTTGGGTTTAGCATAACAGCAGCTATCGATGACACAGCAATAACTTTCTTCACTTTAGTTCTGGAGCAAGCATTCAGTACATTCCGTGTGCCGGTTACTGCAGCTTCCAGCATCTTGTCCTGCAGAAATCTCACGTCACAACCAGCAGCTCATCAGCAAAAAGTCAATTCCGGAAATAAAAGGTGTGCTGCCTGTTAAGGAAGTGGAGAGCCTAGCCATTCAATTCTAGAAACTAGTTTTGATGTGGGCTAAGATGTCACCTTGGGATTAAGAATGCTGGCAGGATCTGTAGGAATTGGGCAAGCAACGTGAAAAACCCCGGCACATCCTGTGATTGCAGTAGAAAGACCTTCATAATCTAGCAAATCTGTCTTGAAAAGTTTCAGATTCTCTTTGGCGTTTTCCAACTTCAACAGATGTGCGTTCTTTTCATCACCTTTAAAGAGATTGAATGAACCAGAAAAAAATAAAAATGGTGAAAGCTGTAGACATTCCAAGGCCAACAGACCAGTTAAATTTGATAAACAAACTCAAAGTTCTAGCAGTCAAATGATCAGTAGCAGAAGATTAAGTTAAAGAAGTTACTTGGGTCTCTCGCAGTTCCATGAACCACATAGCCCTTTGAAAGAAGAAACTTTACCAGCCACGATGCCAAGTACCCTCCTGCACCTGTTACACACACAATTTTCTCGGACATCTTTCCTCACTCTCTCTCTCGCTCCGGATTCTGAGTTCCAATTCTCCTAAAGATGCCTGCGGACTTGGTGTACCATATTTCTTGATGACTTGTTTACTAAGTTACTAACCACCAATAAACACAAAAACAAAATGTTCAGTCATTTTGGCAATTGTTTATAATTGATACTTGAGTCAGTCAATGGCCGTCGTCAATTAAATTTTCCACCAACGACTGTTCAATTCCATCAAAATCTTCACCTGCCCAAAATCTCACGGAGATTTGAAAATGACTTGTTTGTCATATAGTATTGCTACTGGATAACCATGCCCACTGTCTCTATTCTGCATATTAGTAATATCTCTGATTAAAGAAATTCCACAGTTATCTTTGACTTTTTTTTACAATTATAAATGTTTATGTATAAGTTTAGGGCTCGACCTATATTGTAAATACTAGTCGGGTAGCCAGTGTTTCGCTGCGGGCGGGATGAACCAAGAAAAATGTTGAGGTGTGTTGGGTCTCATTATGCAATGAAATAGCTGGACCAAGAGAAATTTGATATGAAGCTGTATGGTGAAGAGACTCAAAGGTAGTTGTGTTATGCCCAGCAAAGAAAATATAACCAGAGAAAAAGATCGCAGTTGAATGATGTTGTCCTCATAATAGAGATATATGCACGTGTAAACAGATGACATCATCTTCCTCAATCTGCTTGCAGATCTAAATAGACAACTATCTCAAATGAAGAATGGTTTTCTTCAGACAACACATGAACACATACTTTCCCACTGGCATTGCAAGTATTCCTGCTAAGATTAGCAGCAAAACATTCTTTACCACCCATAGAGAAGAAAACATTTGCGTCCCTCTGTGCAATGAACTGATTCCATATATTTTGTGCAATTTCTGAACACATGCAAAATGGACTCGGACTTGAAAAATTATTGCAAATATGACGGTAGTCCATGTGTCGCCTCTATCTTTATTCATTCGTGTTTAATCTATTATGGATTGCAAGCCATAAAAAGATTCTAATTATCAGGTCCAGACCTGGCCACTTCACACTCTAACACGGATCATTAGGCAAGCTCCAATCATCACATGATATGAATTGGTGGTAGGCCGTAACAGCTAAGAATTCACCACCTGGTCCATGGTTCTACATCAGAACCATTATCCGAGCATGCTGGAAGACAAGTTAATGCAATGGCCTGAAAGCAATTATCAGGGAGCCGTTGAGAGAATCTCTCCGTTAGCCATCACCACTTTAGTGACTTTCCTGTTATTAAGCTTTGGAACTCAGTCATGGAGAGCATGATCAACGAAAATGCCTACATTATCCACCCTTTAATCTTCCAAAAATTCATCAACTATCCTTCCCCAGTCATCCAAGTGACTCTTATAAAGAAAACCTTTCACAATTTGACAATGCCACGCCAAAGATTGGACATGGACCCTTTTCTCTTTGGAACCGAACCTAACTGCTTGAAAGTCATTACATCATCTTTTAACAGCTTTAACCAATAAGAGATCAGCTTGGGTCATTAATCCCCAAACAATCTTTAATGACACAAGTCCTTGAGTTCATCAAGTGCACTCTTATGTACTCTACTGTATCCCCCAAACAAAACTTGGACGCGCTTTGTCAATAGCCTCGCAAACGCTCCTGGGGGAGATGAGTTGTCTATATGGACTGCACAAATACAGAGAGCGACTATTCCAGCTACAGAAAAATTGTTGATTTTTCCAAGCTGACAAATTGCTCTGAACTCTCTCAGCAATATCTTTTGAGGTCAGATATCAATATAAAACCATCTCCACTGTTGATTGTATTAGATACCTGTTTATAAGTGTTTTTGCAGAAGAAAATCTTGGTTTTGAAAACACCAATTTTTTTGACCAAATGAGGCGCAAAACTTCTTTAAACATCCCAAAATAACATCTATTTGATTTTATAGAGGACTCCACATCGTATTTAATCACCCCATCGAAAAGCAAATGTGAAATGCAAGCCCATCTTTTACAACCCTACAGGATTCCATTTTCTAATATACATATGTTCTGTAATTAAATGAGAACATTCTTCCATGCATAGTACAGAGAATATACAAAGAAAAAGGGTCACTATGTCTAATGCCATGCTAGGGACTGAATTTTTCTGAAGCTGCTCCACTATAAAACAATTGCATAGAAAAGGACGATTAACGTGACACGCGAAAATAAAAATAACATAGATCTCTATCAAGAGAACAACATAACCAAAGACAGAATTAATAGCATCTGTAAGCCAAGCATGAAATCCATAATAACACGAAATGCACAAACACAAAGACCTCCTGTCAAAGCCTCTTTCATCCACCATTGACCCAAACATCGTTTAATTAACATGTCGTTCCCTAAGTGCATCGAGAATCCAAAAAAGGGCTTAAAAGCTCAACATACAGCAAGAATAAAATCCAAGGACCAACTTCAAAATAAAACACATCTCTCTCAAAATCCTTGTCAAACACCTCGTGTGCAACATGTAAAGAAGATAGTCAAAACTAATTAAAACACTTAAACTAACCCTATTATCTGCCTCTTGTCATTCACAATGCTACTGCACAACTCTAATTTATCTTTTTAAAACACGATTACACATAGATGGCTCGGTAAAGGACTACCTCATGGATGATGGAAAAGGCTCAAAGTCTAATTCAGTTAGTTCCCTATCACTAAACCCATGGATGCAAAACAACTGGAAAAACTCAAAGCAGAGACCTAAACCAGAAGCAAACATAGTCCGTGTTTGATCCATGAATGGAGGTGAATAAGTTGCACGATGAATCCTTATATGATTCCTTACATGCACACAAAAAAAGGCATGAAAAAGCTTTTTAATGACTTCAAAAGAACTAACCCAACCAACTAATCCCGAAGCCAGCAAGCTACAGCAACTATTCTTTCTCCAAATTTTAAACCTTTTTAAGATGAAAAGCAACTAAATTAAAATTCCAACCCCGAGAAACACACAAATAACCCAGCACCATGTAGCTTGCAACCAAATAGAAGAAGATGAATTTGAAAAATGAAAAAGAAAAAAAAAAGATGCTTGAGCAGCAAAAAACGAAACTCACGTGCCAAAACCATGCCATATTGCCCTTGATGCAAGAGTAGGCCACTACGGCAACAGCTTTCGAACTCTGCTCTGAGTCGCTACCGACTTCATAGAGAGAGTTGTTAATACAATTCTAATTCATCAAGAAAAAAAAAAAGCCAGCAACATCAGTAATAATTTAATGCAATAACACATAAATAACACCCAAACCGAAGAATTAAAATCCCACAAATGAAGAAATTAGACTAAAATCTAAAACTTAGCATGTAGTAAAAGTGCAGATATATCCCAGAAATCAAAACCCATTAACCAAAAACCATAAATAAAAAAGAATGCATTATTTCCCAACCAGGAAAAAAAAATCATAAAAAATTAGGATTTCAAAGGATACAACTTTCTTTGTTTTTTTCACAGATTCCCATCTACATTGAAAGCGCCATCGTCGGCACCACCGGTGCAAGAGCAAGACCTCTCAGTGGATCCTTTTCTTCTCCATAATAGCCTCTCTAGTTTATCTTTCGTCTACCTGTTTGGTTTCAAAAAAGAAGTAGGTAAGGAAAAAGATTAGCTGCCAAGAAATTAAAAAGCAAAGGAAAATTGTGGCCTCCAAATTACCATGTCTCTCCATAAATGGAAGGACACGGAAAGCAGGAGAAGAAATTGAACAAAATCATCGCGAGATCAACTAACTTTCTGGAGATAAACTCTGCTTGAATACACAACAAAACACCTCACAATCCAGAGCTAATCTGATCTCTTTTTTCTATAATTTCTATATATTTATGTACATAGAGTACCGGCCAGAACTCAGGCCTCAAGTTAGGCGAGTTAACCGAATCAATAAAAAAAAAATTAAGAAAAAACCATGTCATTTTGATTTATTTTTTTAATCAAGCGGTTAAAACCTGGCTTCTGAAGATCCAGTCGTCTGAGCGAAAATGATGACAAGATCATTCGGAGTTATTAATACCGACCACAATCTACAATCTCGGTCAAGCAAAGTTCGAAACATAATAAGACTTTCTCGTATAGAATATTACAAGCTATATACTGCGTAAACATTGATGAGGAGATCCACAATCGATGAGATACGGGAACTGTAAATAACCATTCCATGTGAACATGTATCTTGGTGATTAAGCTTTTTAGGATATCAGATTATGACAGGAAAACCTAGCAAGGATACAAGGTAGTACATATATCTGCTGTAAGATTTTAGGATGACTTTAATTCTCTGCAAAATCAGTTGGCTAGACCTGATGACTCCTGTCAGTATCAGCAATAGTATCTTCTACGGACCTGCACGTCCATCCCAAATTCTGCAATTCCCTTGAACTCAACTTTATATCTTCTTCTACTTCAATGAAACTGTGATGACATAGTCAATCGATAATATAGCATTAAAAAAATACAGATGAAAACAAACTTGAGGGTGCATTATCCATTGCGTTAATCATCTTTCATTTTCTTGCTACCAACGAGAATTACCTTCGGGGGTAGTTGTAGCTATGATAGATGCTCTTCAAGTTGTCCGCTAATGCTGGAGTTCTAATCGAATATGATGTGTGTATGTATCTTCCTTTTGCTCATGTTTTTTCATATACCAGCAGAAGTGCTTCTGCCACATCAAGTACATCTACAACAGGAAAATCTCTGATCTCTGGCACGAAGGAGGATGTCGAAGCCATCTTTATAGTCTTAGCGGCTGATATAATCCTCTAATGTAAACTCTAATCTCTCTGTCATTTCCCTGTTATTATATTATATGTTTATTTATTCACCTTTTTTAAAATTAAAGTCCGTGTTTTTGCATCTTGCAAGCTCTGTCTATTATTCTGGGTTTAGCAACTATCATTTTTTGAAATTTTAGAACTAATTGTTCAGTGCTAAGCTTTTAATTCTAACAAAAAAGTACAAAAAGACTTGCACTGTTTTTGTGTGGGTTATAATTCTTTGGGGTTTAAGGAGAAGTTTGTTGTTAAGTGCTCAAGACTTTCTACATTTATGCTGGAATTTTGGATTTGGGATTCACACGAACCTCTTTTCTTTGTTTCCCAGGTTCTGAAGCCGGGGGCCAAAACACACCTTGAAGATTGATCCCTGGTCTATAGTTAGCGATCAATCATCTTTAATTGTATCTGCTGAATGTTTTTCTTGCTTTGAGTGAAGAAGTTAGGTTGTTATAACTTTCCCATGGTGTCCTTCAAGATTTATTTATTCCTAACCTTAAAGAGATTTGGTTGTTTGATGATGGCGGATCACTAATTCCGAACAATTTTTTCATCCTCTTTAGTGTCTTAGTTTTGTCTTGCTTCCAATCCTCAAACCCACGCATGCAAGAAAGGTGAAGCGATGAAGAAACATACTGCATTTTCCATAGTTTTACAATGGGGGATCATTGATTGTACTGGTTTACAAACATTTATACCAGGATTCTGTACCTGCATGCTTCAGTTTATCTTAGCTATCTATACAGGTGCATAAATCGAGTTGTTTGTTTGCAATCTAGTTGATTCATCACATCAACTTTCTAACTGGTTTTTCCGCCAGCAGGGTTGCTTTGTTAAAATGAGCATGCTGCTACTGGCAATCATGAACTGGTTTCGCTCCAGATATTGCAAGGCCATCTTGCCATTCAATAACTAAAAATTACATGCTTTGGTTCGCAGAAGTAATTCGTTAGAACAACTCAGCACTAAGTTATGTTAGTAAACTTGGTTTCAGGTTTTAATTGTAACAAAGATGACATTAAATTCCTTTTCTTAATTACTCAACATATGTTATAAGACTCTCATAAATGCCATCGCAATATTGTTGATCTTATGATTCTCTTCCATTCATGCTTTAAGAAACTTGGCTATTTGTTGTGTCAGCTTACGACTACCCATGATCAGCAAGATTTACATAGCTTGCCAGTACAAGCAGATGCTATTGAAACAAAAGCTAATTAGGGAGGGACTTTGGCTCATAACCCTGAGGAACATTTCATAGCTATGATATATTCGGATGCTGGTGGGCTTCGATAGAATTCAAACATTGTTATAAAACAGAATGAGTTAACTCGGCTATTCAAGATCTAGCTTGTAGAATGGATTTTTTCTCCTTTTTTTTTTATATATTGAAACAATATAATTTTAAAGATTTTTTACAAAATTCATAGTTCGGATTGACTCAGCAACGCATCCAAATTTTATTAGACCTGATCAATTCCTCGATTGGTTCTTATTGTCAAAACTTTAGACTTTAAGATGCAAAGACTTGGTTTAGGGGTGTCTAGATCTTAGAGACCAGTGAAGGATCACATGTAAACATAAAGGGCCAGAATCTCTTCCATATTTAACTTCGAAAAAACATAAAATTAATATCTTTTCAAATCAAATGCAATTTAAGACACGATATTAATGACCGAATAACATTAGTTTATGGGGGCTCAGTTTATACTATAAATAAGCCCAAATGTCAAACAATAATTAGAGGTTAGATGAGGTTTAGTCCAGCTGGGTGTCATTAAGAACGTGGGGGTGGGGGACTTTCCTCATTCCAGCTGGATGTCTGATAACAATGATATCTGGGAGTTTTTGTTTTTTTGGCATACTTGTTTTTTAGGATTATTTTGGGCTTGAAAAGGCGTTAGATTAATTTTTTTTAAAAAAAATGTTTTTAAATTATTTTAATGTTATGATATCAAAAATAATATTTTAATATTTAATAGTCACCATACAGCAAACACCTAAACTCATCACATGTAATGTTCTAAGGATATTCAAATAGATCCAAGGGGCTAAAACCATAGAGGTTAAATATATTCCCACTTTGTTCTTTAATATTCTGTGATGAACCCTTTCATTTCGCGATACACGCTAATGGATGGAATTTCTGTGCTCTTCCTAGATGATGGAATGAGTGTTCTTGAAGAGTTGGTTGACTTCATTGCCCCTATCATAATCGCCGAATTCGATTTGAAAGTGGATTGCAAGTGGACTGTGTTTTATCAAATCAGTGCTGCTGCGTTGACTATTAAACTGATCAGATTTTGATTAAGAATTTAATAGAGTTAATGAATCATTAAGAATTTTATCGAACCAGTTTAATCTTAAGAATTCATATTTTAGATTCTAATTTCTTGTAGTCGACGAACAAAAACGCTCCAAGTTTAACAATTATGACTCATATACATTTCTACTTTTTAAAAAAGGAAATTGTATGAACATGATTTCCATTTCTTGATAAGCACAGCTTAGTCTTGTTATTTTCAATGATACTGATTTGATCAAACTGGAAGGAAAAAATCCATACATGTCACGATATCAGCATGGATCATCGACATAACATGCTAGCAAATCGCATTTATTAACTGGAAAAAAAGAAAAAGAAAAAGGGAATAAGATGAACTGCCCATTTTGTTTAATCCAAGATTCCAGTTTTCTGATAGCTTTCCACCGAATCAATGAGAGTTTCCTCCAGTGGCCGGTAGCTCCACCCTAGCCTCTGTAACTTTTCTGAACTCAGATTCATTCCTTGCTCTTCTTCAGTGAAGCTGCCAGTGCAAGAAGATGTGCAATCATATTGCCAAAAACAGGCAAAAAATAAAAAGGAAATCAATCCTTGCAAGGGTGAGTGAGTGGTATCATCTAACAAGAGAATCAGAGTAGAATAGCACTGAACTTGAATAATATGGATGGATGAGTAAAAGATCTTTAAAGTTGCTTACCTTTTAGGATAGTTATAGTTAGGATATATATTTCTCAATTTCTCCACCAAATCCTCTGTTCTGATTTCATGAGCCGTGCATATATATCTACCTTCTGCCTCTGGCTTCTCATATACCAAAAGCAGTGCTTCAGCAACATCACGAACATCTACTATATTTCGGAGCTTGTTTTCCAATGACTCGTGCCCTTCTGCATTAGCATCTCGTGCAGAACACCAGTGAACAATGAGAAGATGGCATAAAATTCTGCTTCAGAACAAACCATATCTAAACTAAACTAAGCTAAACTAACAAATAGTATTTGTATTTTTGACCTGGGTTTCAAGTTACTAGCCTTGAGAGAGCCATAAGCCACTGTTACAGACTACAACAGCAATGTTTAAATGTTTGAGTTATCCAAGCATGAAAAACTAAAGTATGATCAAAATGTGGCAAGCTGTCTGGGAAGTCCAGAGTCCAAACCACAGGGTCACAGCCATCAGCACAAAATTGAATCAGACGCAGCTTAGGTTAAAGCTACAATAATGAATCAAGGACCAATTTTATTATGAGTATTTAATACTCTTAACTTTCATATATAATCTCAGTGTTAAAAATCATCAAAAGTACACTAAAAAAATTCCTTGGATTACTTGTAAGTAAAGATGACATTTAACATGCACAGGTAAAACCAGGTGACCTGGGCATCGTATGGATAGCTACCTTTCAAGAGTTTAATAAGAACCTTGCTACTTGCACTGACTGCAGAAGGCAGAATTGGCCCCAAGATGAGGGAAGGACAAATTGTTACAACATCAAGTCCACTTCTTTTTGCATATTCCCACGCCTCACTCTCTGCTTCTGTCTTGGACAGACAATACCAGTTCTGGAGCACAAATAGAACCAAAGATAATAGCAAAAAATAGAAAAACTTAAATCGTCTGTGGGATTAACTCTCATGATATAGAATTACAAAATGTAAGACCAGAAAAATATGTTCAACTCAGGACTTCCAAATTTGCATTAAAAACTAACAAGTTTATCACCTTGGTTGCTCTGCAGTATTCCTTGTCAGACCACCAATTCTCATCCATCACTTGACCCTTTGGCAAGCTTGGGTTCATGCACACAGCAACCACAGAAGACACAACAACAACTCGCTTAACCTTAGCTTCATCACATGCTCTGAGCACATTCAATGTGCCCTTTACAGCAGGTTCGATCAATTCTACCTAAAGTCATTACAAGATGGCATATTTCTTAATCAATCACCATCAAACACACTATCAGTTGAACACTCTAATTAATTAGGCACGCTTGCCTCAGGGTTTGGTACTGTAGTGGAGGGAACAGGACTGGCAACATGAAAGACTCCTTCACATCCCTTGATAGCAGAACAAAGAGAGTTGTAATCCAGTAAATCTGCCTTAAAGAGTTTCAGATTCTCAGATGCCTTGTCAATGGTTTTCAAGTGAGCGTACTTCTCGTCCGCTGCATGATATTGTCAATAAATTTGCATTAAAGCACCATTAAAAAAAAAAAAAAACAATTCCATATTTCCACTTGATAAAGGCTGAGCTTTGATTTTTGACAACAACTATCTGCCGAATCCAGATGCAAATATTGAAAATGCGGCCATCAGTGAATCAATGACATGTAACTAAAAACCATTACAAATTTGGGTATTGTCGATTAAATGCTTAAAGATCTGAATAATACATGAAAATGGGGCATAGCAATATAGGTAACCCGAAGCGAGAACAGAGAACGAAAATAAATAGCTAGGAGTTTTGTAGATACCGACCGGGGTCTCTAACGGTTCCATGGACAAGATAGTTCTTAGAGAGAAGAACCCTGAGGAGCCAAGAGCCCAAGAAACCTCCAGCTCCTGTCACGCATATCCTCCCCTTCTCTCCTGCCATTTCCAAGCTTTCGTAATCAATCAGTCTTTTAGTTTATAACTTGTCTGCCCTGGTGTATTGCCTGCCACACAAAAATAGAAGTTCTTTTAGTGTTCCTTTATTTATTGATAAGGAGTTGTCTTTTTCCTGTGTTTTGGCTTTCCAGCTACTGATAGTGGGCCCGCAACTAGTAGAACAAGCGGTTATTCTTGTATTCTTTTCTGCGAAAGAGCCAACAACAACCGCTGGATGATGATGTGATAATATCAAGATTTTAGTCGTCACGAATTTACAGCAACAAGTTCGAACTGCCATTACAACGACAACACTATTCAAGAACAAAAACCCACGCTCTATTTGCATTCAATTAAGGAATCCAGATTAGGGCAACATGCATCAACAGCAACAAAAAATATGTTCTGTTGTGTTCTGGAACGTACACTACAGGACACTGTCAGCTTGTCATCTTCTAGCTTGGCAACCTAAGTGCACCGGGGAATGATAAATGGGATGGAATTGTGATGGCACTTTTAATTTCCATTCTCTCGTCTCTCTTTTTTTCCATGTGATTCAAAATTTCAAATTATTTTGTTAATCGGAACAATAACATGAATAAATTATTACAACACCTAAATATTTTACTAGAAAAAATAATGCAGACCCACGATGCCATGCCGGGACCAACCTAGTACAAATAAATGGGAATCATAACAAAGAACATAGCTTGCCAGTACAAGCAGACACTACTGAAACAAAAACTAACCAGTAACTTTTGCATCGTTTTGCACATAACTGTGGGGAGTATCTCATCTTATTTTAACTATGATGTTCGGAGGGTGTTGGGCATGGATGTGAATTAAATCATAGAAATTGCTTAAATCATATTTATTGATGATTATATATGTTCACACCGTATACTTTTAAAGGTATTGTTTTAATTAATTTATGTAAATTCAGACATGTGCTCCCACGCCCTTTAATAGTTTTCTGATTTTAGTTGGGCCATGTGGCAGTGTGCCTGGCCAGTAATTCAAGTTACTTGAGACGCGGTTTGGTCCGTTCAATTGAGTACCTATCATCAAATTATTGTTATGCAGGCGTGTCGGCGAGGCAGTTATAAGGCACATCTTCTAAGTTTTTTTATTAGATATTTGGTTATATCCTCTTATTTGTATTTTATTTCGAATTTAATTTTTATTATTTTTATTTTTATTTGTTTTGATTTTAATGCTTCTTGAAGTTTTTTTTTGTAATTTTCATTCCTTAACATTTTATTTAATTTAATTTTTATTCAATCTAGATCTTATTTTTGTGATTGTTATTTTATATTTTTTTATTTTTTTTCTTTATAATTTTATTTTGTTTTGTTTTGTTTTCAATTTTGGTCTTTGTCTTTTTTATTTATATCATTTTTCTTCATTTATTTTGTTTTTCAATTTAATCCTTAATTAGTTTCTTAAAAATAAATATGCAGTAGGGAATAGAGATTCAAAACACCATATTTGAATGATTTATGATGTAATTATAACCCATGAGTCTTTATTTTTTTATGGAGATGATAAACTAAAATATAATTTTGTTTTAATAACTTTAATGAAAAAATATCTTTGATATATGTGTTGATGGGAAATAAATATATCTGATATATTTATTAATAGAAAATAAATTTTTAATATAAATATTATATTTTTAAAAAATTCCATACGTACTTAAATGACTTTTATATATACATAAAAGGATGCGAGGAGAATATAATCTATAGGCAGATCATTCTTTTAGTTGGTCCTCGACACATTGCTTAAAACCATGGTCTTTTGGTTTTCGAAATAATTTTTTAAGCTTGTTAATTCCGAGTTCATTATAGAGATTAACAACTAATTTTTTCATTTATAATCTTAAATGCGGTATATCCTATCATATATGACCATCACTCATGAGCATGTTAGGCCTTTTCTATTTGATATAGACATTGTTAGCAATTGTTATTGATTTTAGCTTGATTAAGTGGATTATCTAACAAAATTGAGATACAAAAATTAACTCAAATTGAATTTTTAGTTAAATTAAATGATATATTAACCTAAAATTCTCATTGATTTGATCAAATTTATAATGATGTGGTTAACTTGATCAAATTTAATTTAAATCTAATTAGATCAATATAAAAGTACCTCATTTTTATGAGTTGTAAATTGAATGATGCCTAAATATTTTTTTCAAAGTGCTCCTGTTGGATTGGAAAACTATACATGCAGGTGAGAGCCAACCAGTAATTGATCATCCACCTCAGCGATGAACAGAAGACATGTTAGTCATATAATTGAAGTATGTATAATGTTTCAGAGAAACAGGTGCCTGCCTGGATCTCACGTGAGCCGCGGGGGATTATTATTATTATTATTATTATCGTTATTTTTTATGAATCCACAAGCAAAGCACCAAGTCCAGCAATGATTACAATCTGTCGGAGCCCAACCAGCCGACACTTTTTTTTTTTTTAAAGAAATCCAGCACATTACTAATAATAATAATAATAATAATAATAATAAGTATTTCAGTGCTTGAGTTTATCTCCTATCCGACTTCGAGCTCTGGCATGCATGTTTGTGATTCCCGCGATACTTTACATGTCTACTAAATTTACAGGGTATTTAGTGGGCCATAAAAATTAATCATGGTACGTGCAAGCTGACCCGAACACCCCATATAAATAAATAAAAAATAATAACAGCACCAACACACTTACTAAAATATTTAGAAAAATAAAAAATGCATGGCTCTTCCTTTTATGCATAACAATTGTCATAAATTGTTAAATATTCTAATACAAATTTCATTGAAAAGAAAGGAGATAAAAAGAAAGATATCACATAGTTATAATGAAACTTCCGAGATGATAAAATCAAATTACCAAAAATACCTGGTTTGGTTAAATCCAACAACTTCAAATAAGAATATTAATTATGACCGGTATAAATTTTATAAATCATTTAAAGATAGCGTGTGACTCATTTATTTTTAAACAGTTCACGTGGTTTATTTTAGTTTTAATAAGCTTTTTTTGGTATTTTTAGATTTATTTTATTAAAATTTTTACAATAATATTGATAATCATCATTAAGGTTTTGTGCGACCAATAAAAAAATAAAATAAAATAAGTAAAATAAAATTTTTACATAAATCAGCTTTCTTGGCCATCAAAGATATATTACAGTAGTTCTTTTTACATTTACATTATTATATAATGATTTTAGTAACCATAATAAAATCTTACAAATTTTTTATTACTTAATCAAAATATTTTTATATTTATTCGTGTGTTAATTAAATTTAGTTAATTATTTTCTTAGAATGATTCTAAAGAATAAATTCTTTGAATGGTGGTTTTAAAATTTAATTTTTAAAAATAAAAAAAATATAATCTATTTCACCTATTTACTAACCTCTAATTTTACCCTTAGTTCATAAGTAATTATAATATTTATATTTTCTTTGCTGTAAAAACAAAGAGATGCTCCTCATAACTAGCGAACGGGAGGCAACAAAGAAACAATTAACAGTTAGACACGTCACAGGCACCACACGTGTCGTCACACGCTTCCCTTATAAATTTCTCTCCTGATGCCCTCAATTTGCTCTCAGTACAGCCGATACGCGTGCTATAACCGGACGCATAAACTTCCACGAAAGCAAAACTCAGTTTAAATTTATCCGCCGGAATATACGGATGGACTCCCGCCGCCTGCCACCTAAATCATCACGCACCAGGTCCTCTAACGACGGCGGTCCTCTGCACCATCACCAGAAGCGACTTGCTCCTTCCGTCGACAACCGCTCTCCATCACCGACACCGAAAGCATCAGACGCGCTTCCCCTCCCTCTCTACCTGACAAACGCCATTTTCTTCACGCTTTTCTTCTCCGTAGCCTACTACCTCCTCCACCGGTGGCGTGACAAGATCCGTGACTCTACGCCACTCCATGTCGTTACTTTCCCCGAAATCGCCGCCATTGTTTCTCTAATGGCTTCCTTTATTTACCTTTTAGGATTTTTTGGAATCGATTTTGTTCAATCATTCATCACTCGCCCTTCTCACGACGCGTGGGATTTGGAAGATACCGACAATCCTAACTGCCTCATCAATGAAGATCACCGTCTGGTTACTTGCCCTCCGCCCGCAAACGTCCCTCCCATTTCCAAAGTACCCAATCCTGAGCCAATAATTACACCTTTAGCCTCCGTGGAAGATGAAGAAATCGTTAAATCCGTCACAGAAGGAACATTGCCTTCTTATTCGCTTGAATCAAAGCTTGGTGATTGTAAACGTGCAGCTGTGATTCGACGGGAGGCGTTGCAGAGGACAACTGGGAGATCTCTAGAGGGTCTACCTATTCAAGGATTTGATTATGATTCAATTTTAGGACAGTGCTGCGAAATGCCGGTGGGCTACGTCCAGATTCCGGTGGGGATTGCCGGCCCTTTGTTGCTGAATGGGATGGAGTATATGGTCCCAATGGCAACGACAGAGGGTTGTTTGGTTGCAAGTACGAACAGAGGGTGTAAGGCAATGTACGCTTCCGGTGGGGCTACTAGTGTTGTGTTGGCAGATGGGATGACTAGGGCTCCTGTTGTTAGATTCGAGACGGCGAAACGAGCCTCGGAATTGAAGTTGTTCTTGGAGGATCCTGATAACTTTGATACTTTGTCCATTGTTTTTAACAGGTCAGTTTTCATTAGATTCTCTATTTCTGTCTGAGTGTTTTAGATTTTTTTTGATGTTGATGGCTATATACTGTACATGTATTTGTGGTGGTGAGGATTTTCCAGATATTGTATGCGGCTGCATCGTTTAGTTAAGAAGAGGAATTATGGTGGTTGTTATAAAAGGGATAGATAGGATAGCTGTGGAAAGGGTTGGATTTCCATTTCTGACAGTTACCTTATATTACTATAATTGATGGTTGCAGGTCGAGTAGGTTTGCGAGGCTTCAAGGAATTAAATGCTCTATGGCTGGGAAGAATCTTTATATGCGATTTAAATGTAGTACAGGGGATGCAATGGGGATGAACATGGTCTCTAAAGGGGTTCAGAATGTGCTTGATTTCCTTCAGAATGATTTCCATGACATGGAAGTTATTGGCATTT